CTTTGTGTAAAATTAGAGGTTACTTTTAATCTATAACCTCAATATAGCCTCAAAGCTGTCAGACACCAAATAATTTTATTTATTTCTTGTTGTGTTTACACTATTATTTCATTAAACTTCGATTAATTGGCAAAAATAGCCAATATTATCTGACTATTCCGCTAGCTAATCATGGATTAATTAATTGAAATTGGTTAAAATCAATTATTATACATATCTTTATTCTACTTTTAATTTCAGAGACAGAAGTACAAAAGAAATGGAAATCATTGAGAACTGTATTCAGTCGCAAATTGGGGCAGTTAAAGCAGAAAATGCCAAGTGGAAGCGGAGCTGATGCAAAAGGAAAAATATCACAAATTGAGTGAGAGTACTGGGGTGATATGCAATTTCTTATACCACATATACGTCACAAGTAAATTACAAATGATATCATTTATAGAAGATATATTCATTTTCTTATTCATAATTGTATGCACTTATATGATGTTTGAAGTATGATTAATATTTTCATTCCTGTTTTATTGTCTCAGATTAAACAGAACATCAAATTTTCATAACAAACAACTTCAAATCTCTCCTGCGTCTTTGGGTTCTCCTTCAAACTTGGCTTGTCCTTCAAACTTGGCTTCTCCTTCAAACAGTGGAAATTCGGTTCTTAAATCAGCCAGAGAAACAGATAAAAACACAATCAAATGTACTGCAATTGAATCATTGCCTTTGCAGAATGCAGACTTTATATTACCTGAAAATCCAAGTATATAATATATATTCAAAAATATTTCAGTTATAATTGTTTTCAATTAATTTAATCTTCATGTTACATTTAAATTTGCAGGTTCTGCATCGCTCCTCACGCAAACACCAAGTAGTGAAATAATAGTGGTTTCTACAAATGATTCTTCACATCTTGAAACATTGTCATCAAGCAGCTGTGAACAAATAAAATCTATGTCTACTAACGAAAGTGAAAGTAAGAAATATTCATCTAGCATGAAGTCTAAACGCAAAGTTCCTACAACAGATAAATTTTACACGAAAAGGAAGAAGGAACTTGAATCTTGCTCAGCTCGTATGTCAGAAGCATCTGAGTGTATGAAGGAAACACTTACCGCAGTAACACAATCCTTGAAAGAGCCAAGTGGAAGTGATGATCTTCAATATTTTGCTTGTCTTCTGCCTATATTTAAGAACCTAAATGATGACCAAAAGACTGAATGTCTACAGACATTGCTGAATGCTATGATAGAATTTGGAAAAAAAAAACAAGCATTAATTAAAAGAATGAAGGAATAATTAATATTTGACTGATATATACCTCTATTGGAGTTTGCACTATATGATTTTTTTTATTTTATTTCTAATATTATGTGCAATATAATGTTTGCCAATTTAGCAGTATATCAGCAATACAGTTTAATTTCTTTTTTTAAGTCCTTATGACGTTCAACTTTTGGTTTTTATGTTTATTATAAGATACACATTATTGACATTTGTGTATCGTATGTAATACAGCACAAGAATTTATATTATTTTATTACTTACGCCAAGTGTTCCTATATCTGTGATTGTTCGACCTGCTACATGTATAATTAGTTAGTTTGGAAGATAATTGTTACTTTCAGTATTTCTTTAAGATTGGTAAAGGAAATCCTTGTGTTCATTATCGTATTTCCTATTTTTATTTAATGTTGCATGTTCCTTATAGAGATGCTAATATGTATGTTAAATAATAGAGAATAATGGATGTTACATTATATATATATGGACAAATGATATATGATGATATATATAATAAATAATGGACTATAATGATGTTATTTTAAATAAATAAGTACTTTTATTATGTGATATGTTTATTATTACCTTATTATACTATGCAATAAATTTCTTATGAGACACACAAAGTTTTTGTTATACACGAAACACTTCATATGCAGATTCATACACAATATCAAAAATATTACTAATAGTTAATAAACAATTAACATAGTCAATTGAGATTCATGTTTATATTATGAAAAGCTTGGTCCCATTGCCATTCAACTGCGCCCTCGTCACTATTTACATAATCCCGAAGTACATTCCTTAAATTAATTATTGCTCTTCCAGCATTGTTAGAACCAGTTCTATGTAATTCTTGTATATGGGGTGAGTTATTCTCATTTCTCCAAGCACCAGGTTCAACAATACCATTAACTTCATGATCTAATAGACCACGAGGGCAATAACGTCCACCAACACCTCCTTCCTTAGTAAGCAGAAAATTATGGAGGCATATTAATGCTTTTACTATCACTTCAGCATTATCAGGAGAACAGCACAGGGAACGTCGCAGTACTCTCCACTTAGTAGTAAGTATGCCAAAAGAATTTTCAACTACTCTACGTGCCCTAGAGAGTCTATAATTGAAAATTCGCTCAGGACCACCTAAATCTCTCTTTGGGTATGGCCGCATCATATAAGTTTTTAGCGGAAAAGCCTCGTTCCCTACAAAAAAATGTGGAAACATTATATTTGTGTTGGGGAGGAAACATGACAATGGCAGATCAAGAGAGCCGTCCTCCAGAGCAGAACCTAGTGCGGATTCAGCCCACACGCCTCCGTCACTCATACTACCTACAACAAGTATAAGATTAACTATTAATAACAAAGAACATAATACAATCACTTTCCAAACAACCCACCATAATCTCCTATATGGACCCAAGTAAATTTATATTCTGCATCAGCAGCAGCCATCAGCACTATGCTGAAAAATTGTTTGTAATTGTAGTATAGACTTCCTGTTTTAGGAGGGCACTGGATCTGAATATGTTTTCCGTCTACCGCCCCGATGCAATTTGGAAAATTCCAAATTGTATAAAACTTTTCAGCAATGTTCTTCCATGATTCTGCCGTTGGTTTCGGAAGATAAATTGGTTGAAGTACATTCCAGATGACATTGCAAGTTTCATAAATTATTTCGTACGCTGTAGATTTTCCAATTCTGAATCCTCTTGCTGTTGTACTCACGCTGTCTCCATGAGCAAGAAATCTGTCACATAAAAATTATTTGCATGCTGAATCTTTTACCGACTTTATTTCAACACATTAAAAATTAGATTACTTACGATAATGTCAATGCTAAGCGCAAACTTGGTGGATGTGGAATCCTTTTGGAAAACTTTTGCAACTGTGGCTGTACCATAGTGAGGAGATGATCATATTGTTCTGCTGACATTCTATAGTCTTTATAAAATAATTCATGATCTTCATTCAGAAGATAATGGAATAAATTGTCATAGTGGCCGCATTTCTCTTTATCAAAATGAACTGGTCTCACCCACCATCTTCTATTTACTTTTGACAATTTTTGTAATACATCACTACTTGTTGCCATATAATAATTCCATGATATTGAAAGTATTACCAATAATTTTTGCAGACGCTTTAGATGTTTCTTTCTGTTTCGCAACATTTTTAATATTTTGTATATAATCTATCTGACACAGACAACTTCTTCAGATACAAGTTAAAGGTGACTCCTCATGCACGACGAAAAAGCGAAG